TTTGAACCAGGGACCTGCTCGCTGAGAGGCAGCAGCTCTACCAGTTGTGCCACCGTGCTGCCCTAGAAAATTTCCCTTTGGGAAAATTGTTTTGAAGTCATTGCTGTCCCAATCTCTGTCTTCACAAAAGATTGTAAGTAAATATTAACTTATGATGTGCATACTTACTAAACTTCTTAATTCCTACCTAATATGTTTTTATATAAAGACAGCGTTACATTAAACAAGGGCCTTTGATGCTTTTGTTATGTGCTTGTCTATTGACTACCATAAATCAAATAAATGTCATCTAATGTTTTTTTGTTAATTTGTTTTCCTTTAAATTTTAATTCTAAAAAGGCAAGTCCGCAAGTACAACATAATGAAGCATCTGCACACATTACCAGAGGCAGAAGGAGGGAAGTGGGTGGTGTGAACGTTCTTATCAAAGGTCACTGCAGCCCTTTTTTCTCGATGTGAGGCCATCAGGTTGGCCGGCTGTTTGCCTGAAAGGACAATGTTTCCCCTGGATATCACCTCATAATGCAGCGTGAAGTTACAGGGACATGTAGATTTGAGAGCTATTTCAGCCTCCTGAGCAACCTAAACACATAAAAATATAAAAATTGTAAACTTGAGGTCTTACAAAAGATACAATAAATTTGTAATGTCTTTATTAAATTATTCAAAAACCAAACACATAATGTAGAAAACTTAAAATTTAGCTGACATTTCCAAATTCAAACAACAAAAAAAGGCAAACCATACTTTAAGAGGAGCGCTGGGATTCTGGATCTGGATGTGACACCTACTTGGAGAGTACCAACTACTAATGGACAGGTAGCTAGGTAAGTATTGGTCTCCCACTGCCTTGCCATCAATGGATGTCACCTTGGTCTGTTAAAAAAAACACAGTCTAAAATTGTGTCTTGTCTGGATCATAAAACAAACAACTGATGGTACTTATCACTGACCTCAAGCCAGACATACTGAGCTGCTGTTGGTATGGAGGGGATTTCAAAAGTGGCTTGGCCATCCGTTGAGATCAGTTCACTGGTGTAGACATTGTCCTTTGGAGACAGCTCTGCCTTTACACGCACACTTACACTGTCCGCTGGGCTCCCATCTGGAAAGGTAACTTCAATCTACAAAGTGACAAAAGATGGAACAACTCAATCACTATTGTAATGTGAATCAGAAAAGGCTTAAATCATCTTACGTAACAAGATAATGAATTGGAAATATTTTCTTTTTAGTAGAAATAACTCAGTTATCAGTTGGCAGATTTTTACCATCTTTTAAATAATGAACACTGGCCATGCCTAAGCATACTATGTTAATTAAAAGGTTGCATATCTATGATAGCAGTGTTGTTACGCTTGACATTATGCCTTACTTTAATGTGCTTCCCATGGCGAGGATGTCTTTTTTTGGCACAACATTAGCAGACCCTTAAAAAGGTTGACTGAGGATTATGGTAACACTCTGCTTTACTATATTTCATTATTAATTAAATGTGTTAAACTGCTGCAGCACGGGAGCGCAACTGGTGGAGCTGCTGCCTCTCAGTGAGCAGGTCCCTGGTTCAAATCCTGGTCCGGGGGCCTTTCAGGGTGGAGTTTGCATGTTCTCTCCGTGCATGCGTGGGTTTTCTCCGGGTACTTCTGTTTCCTCACACAGACCAAAAATATGCATGTTAGGCTGATTGGTAACTCTAAATTGTCCCTAGGAGTGAGTGAGAAAGTGAATGGTTGTTTGTCTTGTTTGTCTCTATATGTGGCACTGTGATGGACTTGCGACCCGTCCAGGGTGTACCCCGCCCCTCGCACAGTGATTGCTGGACATGGGCACCGGCGACCCCCGTGACCCAAAATGGATGAAGCGGGTAATAGATAATGGATGGATGGATATGTTAAACTGTGGGCTTTAAGAAAAAGTCAATGTTTCAGTTACTCATTGCGCATCATTACTAGTGACCTGTGTGGTCCTTTAAGCATGGCAAATCATTTTAGCAAATATGAGCCCTATGCTACTATTACCATAGACCCTACTGTTTGTTGTTGTTCTTTCGGCTGCTCCCTTCTTCAGGGAGCACCACAGTGAACTAACTCGCATGAACACTTAGCAAATGTTTTTACACCAGATGCCCTTCATGACACAACTACAGACCACTGAGCTACCACAGCCCTCTGTGTGGAGCAGGGAGTTGCCATTTAGGGCACCCAGGGGGGTTAAAGGCCTTGCTCAAGGACCCAGAGTGGGACAAATGAGGGTGGAGGCAGGTGTGGGTGTTTCATCTTTCTCGCACACATTTTGATGTTGTTGAGGAGAGTTGAACTGGTGACCTTCTGATCACAGGCCCACCTTCTCTAACCTCTGTGCCACCACTCCCCATCATACACCCTAAGGTAAGAATCTTGAATATTAGTTATCCATCCATCCATCTTTTCATCCATTTTCTTCTGCTTATCCAGGGTCGGGTCGCAGAGGTAGCAGCCTAAGTAGGTAGGCCCAGACTTCCCTCTTCCCAGCCACTTGGACCAGCTCCTTCGGGGGAATCCCGAGGCGTTCACAAGCCAGCCGAGAAACATAGTCCCTCCAGCGTGTCCTGGGTCTTCCTCTGGGTCTCCTCCTGGTGGGACGTGTCCGGAACACCTCACCAGGGAGGCATCCAGGAGGCATCCTAACCAGATGCCCGAGCCACCTCAACTGGCTCCTCTTGACGTGGAGAAGCAGTGCCTCTACTCTGAGTCTCTTCCGGATGATCAAGCTTCTCACTCTATCACTAAGAGAGAGCCCAGACACCCTACAGAGAAAACTTATTTTGGCCGCTTGTACCCACAATCTCGTTCTTTCGGTCATAACCCAAAACTCATGACCATAGATGAGGGTAGGAACATAGACCGACTGGTAACTTTAGAGGTTCGCCTTTTGACTCAGCTCTCTCTTCACCACGACAGACCAGTACAGTGCCTGCTTCACTGCAGATGCCCCACCTATCCACCTATAGATCTCTCACTCCATTTTACCCTCATTCATGAACAAGACCCCAAGATACTTAAACACCTCCACTTTTGGTAGGACCTCCTCCCTGACCCGGAGAAGGCACTCTACCCTTTTCTGGCTCAAGACCATGGCCTTGGATTTGGAGGCACTGATGTTCATCTTGGTCACTTCTCACTCTGCTGCAAACAGCTCCAGCAAAAGTTGTAGATCACGACCTGATGAAGCCAATAGGACCACACCATCTGCAAAAAGCAGAGAAGCAATCCTAAGGCCACCAAAACATATCCCCTCAACACCTTGGCTGCACCTAGAAATTCTATCCATAAAAGTTATGAACAGAATTGGTGACAAAGGGCAACTTTTGCGGAGTCCACCTCTCACCGGGAACGAGCCCGACTTACTGCTGGCAATGTGAACCAAGCTCTGACACCGGTCATACAGGGTCCCAACAGCCTGTATCAAAGGGCCTAGTAGCCCATACTCCCAGAGTACACCCCACAGGGTTCCTGGAGGGACATGGTTGAACACCTGCTCCAGTCCACAAAGCACATGTAGACAAGTTGGGCAAATTCCCATGCACCCTCCAAGACCCTACTGAGGGTGTAGACCTGGTCCGGTGTTCCAAGACCAGGGCGAAAACCACACTGCTCTTCCTGAATCTGAAGTCTGACTATCCGATAAACCCTTCTCTCCAGAACTCCTGAATATACCTTACCAGGGAGGCTTAAGAGCATGATCCCCCTGTAATTAGAAGACATTCTGCGGTCCTCCTTTTTGAATAGGGGGACAATCACCCCGGTCTGCCAATCCAGGGGAAGTGCCCCGATGTCCACGCAATATTGTAGAGTTGTGTACGCCAACACAATCCCACAACATCCAGAGACTTAAGGAACTCTGGGTGAATCTCATCCACCCCCAGGGCCCTTCCACCAAGGAGCTTTTTAACCATCTCAGTGTCCTCAGCAACAGAGATTGGAGACCCCAACCCAACGTCCCCAGGCTCCACTTCCTCAGTGGAAGACATTCTGGTGAGATTGAGGAGATCTTTGAAGTACTCTGCCCACCGACCCACGATGTCCCGAGTTGAGGTCAGCAGCACACCACCCCACTATAAACAATGTTGGCTGGCTTCTGTAGCCGAGGATCAGACCGCCAAGGTCCCCGCCTTCGGACACCACCCATCCCACATTGCACCCAACTCCTTTGGTCCCTCCCACAGGCGGTGAGCCCATGGGAAGGGGGACCCATGTCTCCTCTTCAGGTTGTGCCCAGTCGGGCTCCCTGGGTGAAAACCTGGCCACCAGGCGCTCACCAGCATGCCCCACCTCCAGGCCTGGCTCCAGGGTGGGGCCCTGGTGACCCGCATCCAGGCAAAGGAACATTGTTTCCATTGATTGTACTCATCATAAGGGGTCCCTCATCTAGGACCCGTCTGCCTTGGGTGACCCTACCAGGGGCATGAAGCCCCTGACAGCATAGCTCCTAGGATCATTGGGACACTGCAACCCCTCCACCACAGTAAGGTAGCAGCTCAGGGAGGGTATAAGTTAGAGAATATTAGTTAGTGAATAAATTTATGGGCCAAGAACTGAATAAACAAACAACAATTCTTCATAAATTCACCACTAGTTGTCTGATTTCAAAAATATGTATCAGTCTATGAAACAATATCCATCCTGTACTATGTAGTGTGAAGTCACACTTCTTTATTGTGTCAGTTACTACTGTGTTGAGTCTTACCTTCCCTTTGTAAGGCAGACCAGGCTTGAACTGTTTGCGAGTATCTTTGGAGTACTTGATGTCAATGAGCTGCTTATGAACTGGCGTTGAGTCATCCAGTGTGGTTTGCCTGCTTCCATCGATGCTGGTCACTGAGGCCCAAATGCTAACCGTTCCCCTGAAGTGATCAGCCACATCCAGCGGCATCATGTTCTTGACGCACAGACTGAAATTTGCAGAGCCTTTGATCTGACAAAAGAACAAATGCCGTATTCAAGTATGGTTGGAGTGGTATATTTTCCTGCCAAAGTGGAGAATAACAACAGCACATTGACTCTCAGATTACTCTCAGAATACAGATTTTAAACCTCGAGTTTCATTTTTATTGTTCAATATTGGATAAAAGAAACATATTGAATGCAATCTTGCTTTTGAATCAGCATGAAAATCTTTAACATTCTTATGTACATTTGTATACACCATTATACAAACTGGATTCCAAAAAAGTTGGGACACTAAACAAATTGTGAATAAAAACTGAATGCAATGATGTGGAGATGGCAAATATCAATATTTTATTCGTAATATAACATAGATGACAGATCAAAAGTTTAATCTGAGTAAATGTAAAAGGAAAAATATGTTGATTCAAAATTTCACAGTGTCAACAAATCCCAAAAAAGTTGGGACAAGTAGCAATAAGTGGCTGGAAAAGGGAAATTGAGCATATAACGAACAGCTGGAAGACCAATTAACACTAATTAGGTCAATTGACAACATGATTGGGTATAAAAAGAGCTTCTCAGAGTGTCATTGTCTCCCAAAAGCCAAGATGGTAAGAGGATCACCAATTCCACCATTGTTGTGCAGAAAGATAGTGCAACAATACTAGAATGGTGTTACCCAGCGTAAAATAGCAAAGACTTTTAAGTTATCATCATCAACCATGCATAACATCATCAAAAGATTCAGAGAATCTGGAACAATCGCTGTGCGTAAGGGTCAAGGCCGTAAAACTCTACTGGATGCTCGTGATCTCCGGGCCCTTAAACGTCACTGCACCTCAAACAGGAATGCCACTGTCAAGGAAATAACAGAATGGGCTCAGGAATACTTCCAGAAAGCATTGTCAGAGAACACAATCCACCGTGCCATCTGCTGTTGCTAGCTGAAACTCTACAGTGCAAAGAGGAAGCCATTTCTAAGCAAGCTCCACAAGCTCAGACGTTTACACTGGGCCAGGGGTCATTTAAAATAGAGTGTGGCAAAATGGAAGACTGTTCTGTGGTCAGATGAGTCACAATTTGAAGTTCTTTATGGAACACTGGGACGCCATGTCATCCGGACCAGAGAGGCCAAGGATAGCCCAAGTTGTTATCAACGCTCCGTTCAGAAGCCTGCATCACTGATGGTATGGGGTTGCATGAGCGCTTGTGGCATGGGCAGCTTGCATGTCTGGAAAGGCAACATTAATGCAGAGAACTATGTTCAGGTTCTAGAACAACATATGCTCCCATCTAGACGTCATCTCTTTCAGGGAAGACCCTGCATTTTTCAACACGATAATGCCAGACCACATTCTGCAGCAATCACAACATCATGGCTACGTAGGAGAAGGATCTGGGTACTGAAATGGCCAGCCTGCAGTCCAGATCTTTCACCTATAGAGAACGTTTGACGCATCATAAAGAGGAAGGTGCGACAAAGAAGGCCCAAGACGATTGAACAGTTAGAAGCCTGTATTAGACATGAATGGGAGCGCATTCCTATTTTTAAACTTGAGAAACTGGTCTTCTCTGTCCCCAGACGTCTGTTGAGTGTTGTAAGAAGAAGGGGGGATGCCACACAGTGGCAAAAATGGACTTGTCCCAACTTTTTTGGGATTTGTTGACGCCATGAAATTTGGAAACAACAGATTTTTCCCTTAAAATGATACATTCTCTCAGTTTAAACTTTTGATCTGTGATTTGTGTTCTATTCTGAATAAAATATTAGATGTTGGCACCTCCACATCATTGCATTCAGTTTTTATTCACAATTTGTTTAGTGAACCAACTTTTTTGGAATCCAGTTTGTAATATTCAATGCCAAGATACCTGTCAAAACTGGCTTCGAACACTGACCTCCATAGATTTAATAACAGGATGGCCCATCTCATGTCTGTAGTAGCCAACTCCGTTAACAGTCATATTTACTGTCAACTTCCCTATCACTGGTTTTCCAAACGTATACCTGCACAACATTGGCAAAATAAAGCTTTAAGATGAAAATTATACATGTATTTCTGACATAGAAAATACCTAAAATATCTTCATATGAAACATAATAAAACAAAGCTGCCCTGTACCATAGGGTGTAATTTTCCCCCAGAAATAGCAACCAGAAACAACATTAAGGTCATTTGTTGTGTTATTTTACACATATGTACAGTACTTTATGTAACGTACCTGGCTCTGACAGTGGCCTGTTCACACGAGTTAATATCCCGGATGTAACGTGGTGGATCAATCACCAGTTCAAATTTGGGCATCACTGTGACAGAGGCAGCAAAGCACATTGGTTTAGTTTTGTCTTATTCAGTCAAACGCTCCATTTCACTGTTTGTTTTCATGCTGATAATGATCTACACAAACACTCATTACATTCATTTACAATTAAGCTACAAACTATACACGTAACATACTAAATGCAACTTATAACACAACAATAAAAAGCTGTCTTGTAATTGACTGTATCACAAGGCAATTTAAAGATAATTCAATGTACTAAATAACCCATAACAACTTCCTCACCATACTTCTGTACTTCGAACGACTTGTTGTAAGTGTGACCTTGCACGTCGACTAAGACAAACCATTCTCCGAACACGGGTTGGTCGGACAGCGGGAAACTCATGTTGAATATCCCTGAAAAGGCAGAATGAAGTCTAGTAGCATGCTTAATACCTATTAATGGTAGGCTGGATAACACAACGCTGAACAGTCCAATCAGTGATCACAATGGTGAACTAAGGAAATCTCTTTCCAAAGCTTATTTAAAGAAATACAGGAATTAATGCTGAGTCTGCAGAAAAATTATGTCAGAATGTAGCAACAAACACAGCTTACCACAACAGACAGATTTAAGCCCTTTCCATTGGATCATCCTTGATCCTTTTGGATCCTGAAAGATAAAATCATAATAATTGTTTTTTTTTTTACCTTGAGAAATCCTATTTGCACCTTTACATTGTCATGTATTGCATCCATCGTCTTCACCGTGTTCAGGATGTGCAGATGTTACTCTCATTTTGTATTAATATTAAAGACGTTTTGAACTTTACTTTAGCTCGAGGGATGAATCCTGACCTGTGCCAAAAGACTTAAAAGACTTAAAAGACTCATCCATGTATTTGTTACTAACTTTTAGAGCAAGTACAGACTCACACAAGCTTCCTATACAAGAGCATTTAATTGGTCCCAGTAAATTCTAAAACTCTCTAATCTGACAATAGAGACAAAGCATGTTTCATATGTGTTTGTTCGTAAGTATAGAGAGCAAGAACTGTATGTTAAGGGTTACAAATAGGCTAATAAAGACAAAATGAGAAGAATAGCAAGCAGAGGTTCATTTCATGCTGTTTATTCTTGGACTGGTCAAACAGCACCCTGTTATAGGTGAGCTGGCCCGACTTCTCCTCTTTAATCTCAAATCAGGCTGAAAACTAAAATTGCCACTGTCCCCCTCGCAGACGATGCTCTGACAACCCTGGGTGGTCCGGCCAGTTTCCACTCACCAAAATATATGCATCCATCTGCAGGAAGAAAAGACAAGTTTTATGAAAATAATTTAAAACAAAGAAACAATGGGAAAAGTTTACACTTCATTGCACTCTGTGTTCGTCTGACAATCATCTTGTTGTGAAAGTCTGTACTGCCCTTTGCATGCAGCAGACATTTATATCTGCAAACATCAATAAACTGAAATTGAGCAGGATATTTGAAGCTGCTACAAACATTCCAGTAGAAACGACTCAAACTTGGCCTCTTTAAACAGCTGACTGTTCACCGTCTTGTACAAACTCATTTTAACTTCACCCATCAGAGGTGGAAAAATGTGTCGAAAAATGAGCGTTATGGCATGTCACTGCAAGAGGCGATGTAATGGTATAAATTAACATAACAAAACTGAGGGTTGAATGTGCAGGATTTGCTTTTCTTGCAGCAAATTGCACTCAAACTTACTGAATTTTATGTTTAATCTGCACCAAATAGAAATGCATCATTATTGGCTTGATACAATATGACTTAAATCATTGTGTGCATGTTTATGAAGCATTCAAACTATTGTGATCCATTTTTCTTCCATCCATTTTTCGAAATCTTTCTTGTTCCACACTTTTTTTTTGCTATTTCAACAAATCGTATATCACAATGTTCAGCTCTTTCAGAAGGGTGCTATGAATTTTGGTATTGGTGCAACTTTAGCTTTTTGAAATATTTAGCCTTTTTTGCTACTTTTGTGTCAGAGAAAATGATTAACCTTTACTTAATTTAAACTTTATTTTAAAATTAATTGTGCTAATTTTAAATCCTTCTGATCTTTAGATCTGCTTGCAACCTTTTACTACTCCTTTCACATTTTGTTCTGCTTCAACTTCTTTCAGCTTCCTTGTGCAAATTTAAACTTTTTTCAGCTGTTTTGTGACCCTTTCAGATTCTTTCTGCAAACTACAACATTTTTGTGCTTCTTCCAACTTCTTTTTGCTATTTTCAGCTTGTTTAGCTCCTTTCAGCTTATTTCTGTAAGTTTCAGCTTTTTCTTCTATTTCAGCTACCATTTAGCTCTTATGTTAATTTTAGCTGTTTCAGCTAATTTCCACATTTTTACTCTCATTTCAACTTTTTTTCAGCCCAATTCAGCAAAAATGTGCTCTCTCCACTTTTTTCTGGTAATTTAAGTTTCTTTTTCCTTTAGTAGCTACTTTTCAGCTGTTTTTGTTTAACTAATTTCAGCTTTTTTCTGATAATTTCCACCTTTTGTGCTCATTTCTGATTCTTTCAACAAATATGTGTTCTTTCTGCTTTCTTTTGCTACATTACAGTTGTTCTACCTTTTCAGCTACTTTAAAGCATTTTTTAGCTAATTTCAGCTGTTTTCAGATACATTTAAGATTTTCATGGTGATTTCTGCTTCTTTCAGCCTAATACATTTCTTTCTGACAATTTCATTTTGTTTTGCTGATTTAAGCTTTTTTCTGCTAGTTTTAGCTTTTTCTGCTATTTCAGCTCTATTTAGCTGTTTTGTACTAAATCAAGCTTTTCGGCTAGTTCCACATTTTTTAGCTCATTTCAGCTCCTTCCACTTCCTGTTGTTAGTTTAAACTTGTTTTTGCCTTTTCAGCTACTTTTCAAACATTTTTTTTTTTGCTAATAGCCTTTTTAGCCAATTTCCTAATTTTGTGTTTATTTCTGATTATTTAAACCCAATTCAGCAAATAGCGTTCTGCTTTCTTCTCCTAACTTAGGCTTGTTCTTCCATTTCAGCTCCATTTCAGCATGTTTTAAAGCTAATTTTGGCTGTTTTTCAGCAAGTTCTTCTACAGTAAGCATTAACACTGCATTTTCACAGGAAATGCAATTTCTCCAGTTACCTTTACATTCACTGGCCTCAGGTCAGGCGTGACTGTGTAAACATTGATGAGCACTGAGAACAAAAAACACAATAATGCAAGTAGGTTTTCAGCTTTTCTCCTCTATATAAACATTTAGCATAGCTAAAAAGAATAAAACTACCACATCAAGGAGAAAATTTAAATATTTTAGTGTTTGTCCGGCCAGAATCAACATAAGACTCAAAAATGCATCGACTGTTTTTCTGCATTTTTGCGTAATTAACTAATTAACTAATTAACCACCGGCTGCACTAGGAAGGAACCTTTGTGTTTGGGTTTGTAGATGGGTTTGTCGGTCTGGACGAACACAGCTGTGCCCTTGCTCTCCACAGTGACGGTGGTGTAGTTGTGGAAAATGTACCCTCCCTCAGTGAGGTGACGGTTTCCCCAGACCTTCAGAAGGGCCTGACCTCTCAAACCAGGGGGCACCTGGGGGCAAGAACACAAAAAGAGCAAAAGCAAAAACAAGACAAATGTGGACTAAGTCCAAAAGAGTGAACATAAGATCTCAAGGTTGCTATGGTGACACACAGTTTAAAAGGATTGTCTCTGATTTAGTGTATTTAATATTTTTTAAAGAACAAAAGGCAAAAGAGGAACAACCCCCCCTCCCCCAAAAAACAAAACAAAAAAAACGGCTGCATTCAAAGACCAGAGTTAGGCTTTAATTGAGTGACAGCATGAATGACAATGAGGGTGGAGGTTACGGTGAAAGTGGGTGGGGTGTGTTTGAGTGAAAGAATCACATCGTGCAACACAAATTGATCCGTTCCAGCCTTCAGGTGTGGCAGATCACACACACACACGTCAACAGCTGTTGCATATTATGTCAGAGCTGTTACCTTACTCCCACTGAACGAGCACGGACAGATGTTGCATTACAAATACAGTTAGTGTGGATTTGCATGTTGCCTGAGGAATGTGCACAAAGCAGACGATGTCAGCTGCACGCACTGAGCCGTGTTGCTTTACTCACCTTCAGTTTGATGGTGCCTTTATCTAAAACGGTAAGAAAAGTAGAGAGGTTTCAGAGTGAGGCATTCTTTTTGTCCAATCACACATTTTTCCAGTTACTCAACACGTGTGATAGCTGTTAGTGTTGGGCTGATCTGGCCTGGAGGAGATCACCCTGTGTGATCCAGCAGCGAGCTGTCTCCGTGCCATCCTGAGCAGAGCGAGCACCATCGATTAAAGGTGCTGTCAAACAAACTGTTTGCACCGAGCGGCTGGTGGGAGAACTGATGCAATTATGAAAAAAGTAGTTGAGGAGCACACAGTCGTGACAGATCAGGTTAGTAGCTCTCGCAGTGTGTGCATCCTTTACTTAATGGTTTTGGGCCGTCCACACATAAATCTATCTGAACAATTTCTACATCCATTGAAGAAATAAATAGATGGGGATTGTAAGTTGTTGTTTTTTTTTTTAAATTACATCTGGACAGCTTTAGCTTAAAGTGACAGTTCAGACCTTTAGAAGTGGGATTCTGTTGAAAGATATGTACAAACAATGTTTAACCTGTTGTAGATAAATTGTTGAACAGCCTCAGTTTGAAGAAATTGACTTTAATTCCAATTAAACTGAGGAGCTAACGGCTAGTCTGAAAGGCCCAGACCAAAGTGACTTCCTCTGAAAACTAATCTAAAATAATTCATAGCGTGTTATGCTAACACTATTTTCTAAACCCTCACGTTGTCATCTATTTTACATCGGAGGGTTATTCAGAGACTTCCAGTTGGTCTAAGCCAAGTCTAGGATTAATGTGTTTGTTTTTTCTGACTCTGTAAACCTAAACAAACGATGGAAGAGCTGTCCTAACTCATGAAATAATCAGTTCAGATGTTTTGAACCCCACTTTGAAATGTCTGAACTATGCTTTTAAAACTCCGCCCTCACCTCGCACTGTGCTGTGGCTGTGTGCAACGGTCTGTCCCTTCATGGACAGCTGCGCCTGGACTCGCGTCTCTGCTTGGCCGTTAAAAATGGTGACGCTCACGCTCTCCTCGACGGCCGCTCGAAACACAGAGGGCGCCGCGACCAGGTAACCCCTGACAGGAGGGCGGGAGAAGAACAGAACGAGCAATAAAAGAGAAGAAGGTGAGCAGAATCATATATAACACACTATTCTTGATTTAAAGGTAGTAATGTGGAAATAAAACTAAAAAAGTACTTCTAATTTGTGCTAATTAGTTTCATTGTTAGTCCAAAAATTACCTGATCTGCTTGAAAGACTTTTTTGCACCTCTAACAGATTCTTGATGTGTTTTTTTTTAATAATCACTACATTCCACTTACAACAAAGTGCAAAAGTTTTGAGCCATCCTTTGTCTCTTTATATTTTGCTTCCAAGAAAAGTTGTTGTGTCGAATGGAAAAAAATCATTGGCTCAGGAACACTTCCACAAATCATTGTCCAAAAACACCTTAAAGCTCCATGTGTACGAAAAATAAAATAAAACTACTGGACTTTTATTCTGATATGTAAACACCATCCAGAAACACGGCTGTCTGTTCTGGGTCAAAGCTCATTTAAACTGGACTGAAGCGAAGACAAAAACTTTAGTGGTTTGATGAATCAAAGTTTTTAATTATTTTCTAAGTCATGGATACCATGTCCACATTAAGGGAGTGGGACCATGCAGCTCGTTATTGATGCATAGTTCCAAGGTATGCCTCTCTGACAGTATAGGGGTACATTAGTGCCTTTGGCATGGTCAATTTACACATCTGGACAGGTGCCTTATACAGGATTTTGGACAATGTATGTCCCCATTCAGAAAACTTTTTTTTTTCCAAGGAAGGCCTTTTGAGATGTGATCTCATGTTTTCTACAGATATCAGCTGTAAACCTTTGTTTTTACACATTATTAGCCCGACCATGTTCAGAGGAATGGTTTTCTTATGTGTTAAACCAACGAAAACTGGCCAGTAACTTAAACCAATAAGAGTCTGCAAGACAGGGGATTTGTAAAAATCCATCTTACTTCTACACATAACGCACAGTTTTGAAAATAAAAAATAAAAAAGTGCAAGTGTATGTTTAGACATTTTGTTACTTGGTTTTATCTGCCGCACATAATTATGCAACATGCTCTTCAAGCAAAGACAAAGGCATTTTTTTTTTATAAAAACTGTATTTAAGCACAAACAGTGTTGATCCTAAAGAGCTACGTTTGAGCCAGATATTTGTCATATCTCTGCAGTGCGTTCTCATGAAATGTGAAGAAACTGGAGGAACAAATAAAGAAACCTATAAAAACAACCTACAGCAGATCAACAGCTTCAAAACATGAACTATTCAACAAAATAAAACAGACAGAAAGCCTTCTGGATGCACCAGATCATTTCCTCTGTGGTCAGAAATAGTCTTAATGAGCAAGAAACTTTTCTTAAGTAAATAAGAGGAAAGGTTGAGGCATGCCAAAATACACACAAACTAAACTAAATCTCTGCAGCTGTATGTAATAAATCAGTTGTTTTTTTTTGTAATTTAATGTATTTTTGAATGAGCCGAGGTTAGAGCTGAAACTCCATATCCAGTACAAGACAGGCTCTATTTAACTGTAACTCATTATGAAATAAAAATCCTATATCAGTCATGAGAGGCAGACGCAGCTAAAGCAGACCCACTGAGTCCAGCTGTTTACCAGAAAACTCCTCTGAAGATCACACAAATTAGGACTGAGCAAAGCTCTGAGCACAAACCCAACATGCGTGCATGAGAGAAGAGTCAGGTGGTTGGCATTACAGCGCCTCAGCATTAGGGCCAGAGGCAGCTGAGGTTCCTGTGAGAGAGTCATGAGGAAAATCCCTGGAAAACAAGGCTCAGGAAGGAAGATAATGCACGGAAATGGGACTGGATGCCTTTGATCTGCACTGGCTCTTGGATGAGTGTGGATCACATGGCTCCACTGGGTTCACTTTCTTACTATTCTGGCCTCATTTGTGTCCTCTGAGGGCTGAGAGCTCCTCTGAACATATAGGTGAAGACTTCAAGAGCTGATGTGAATTGTGCTAATAGAAAAGCAGATGTTAAAGTAAAAGAAGCAAACCATGTGCACGACTTCTTGTTAACGGCTGCATCAGTGGGTTCACATGTTTGTGTTTCTCATTATTTCAGCACATAACTGAGTGATGGGCTCCCACAACTAAATCAGCATGGTGTCAAAGTGAACTGAATGAAATCTGCCACGCACTGGTCACTTACAGTTTTTCCTGCGCACAGCTTCTGCGCGCACTGCAGATGAACAGCGTCCACAGAGTTGTCCAAAACAAGCGCATGTTGGCGTCACTGTAAACAAGTTCTCCTGTCACCCTTGGGGGGCTCACTCCACTCAGTCTGAGGAAAATCCGACAGTCTGGAGTCTTCTAGGGCCTCAGGTCCATTGGTAGTAGGTGTGCAGAGCTTCACTGGTTCAGTTGTGATCATCCCTCTTTAACGAATCTAGCTCCAAGTATGTTGTTTTGTTTCCTCCCTCTTCGCAGCGCAGAGCAACACGACCATTCCTCTCCTATCATGTGCCTTCTTCTCCTCCCGCCCCGGGTCCGTTCGCTCATATTTCAGCATGACAGTTTTTCTTTTTTCTCCCCCCTTTGTGTCCTCCCACTTCAGTTTGTTAAACCTTTGAAAATCCGTGCACTTCTGGGTGCTCCTTCACCTGATTGTTTTTGTTGTTTCACTCAGGTTCCTCCTGCAGAGAATAACCCAAGCAGCAATAAAATACACATTCAACTAAAGTATAACCGCTATAAAATATAAATAAATAAAAAAAACACACACATGTTGGGTTAAAATGAGAACATGTCAAACTGAAAGGACCGATCAGTTACCTTCACTCAGGTGAGTCATGTTGGACTCTTGGACGTCACTTATTGTATGCTGCCCCCAAGCGGCCAAGATGTGCAAACGCAGGAGTCCCCCGAAAACAATGCACAGAAAACATGCAATGCTGCGCAACTGCATTGTTTATATATACTGTATATATATATATATATACACAAAAATTAAATATACACACTATATATATATATATATATATATATAATGTGTATATATATATATATATATATATAAACATGCATGCTGCGCAACTGCATTGTTTATATATATATATAAATTTTATATACACACATTATATATATATATATATATATATATATATACATACATTTCACATATATATATATAAATAAAAATTACATATATATAGTATATATATCCATCCATTATCTTTCACCCGCTTCTTTTTTGGGTCACAGGGTTACCCGTGTCCATGTTCAGCAATCACTGTGCGAGAGGTGGGGGACACCCTGGACAGGTCTTAAGTCCATCACAGGGACACATAGACAAACGAGACAATCATTCACTCTCTCACTCACACCTAGAGACAATTTAGTTTCCAATTAACCTAACGTGTGTTTTTTGTCTGTGGAAAGAAACTGGAGCACCCGGAGAAAACCCACGCATGCACAGAGAACATGCAAACTCCACCCAGAAAATTCTCGGTCTGGGATTTGAACCGGCAACCTTGTCACTGAGAGGCAACAGTTCTACCAACTGTATGTGTATATACTGTATACATTTCTACAATCTTTCAGCCACTCCTAAGTAGGATAAGTTTATCCAGGATAAGGGTGCCATGACTTGACTTTTCAAAAAATTTAATTTACAAATATTCCCTATGTAAATAGGTCAGTTCTTCAAAAATATAGTTGTTTAAAATCTGCTGTAGCATAATTGCTCTATTTTTGTCTTTTCAAGTTCAAGTTTGTCATTTCGCATCACGTGGTACATGAGGTGGAACAAAATTATATACTTAGGGTCCTAGTTACACCCAAAAATAGTAACATTTAAAGTATAAAAAATAAACTACCGCTATTTTTGTTTTTCGTTGACATTCTGATACTTGACACAGTCTTTTTGCAAATTTTAACAAACTTGTTGGTTTTTCTGTACTTCAAGATTTCGGCTAACCCTTTGCCGTTTTTAGTTTTTCAGTACTTTAAGCTATTGGCTAGCTTATTGCTACTGTTCGCTTCAGCTACGGTTTGCCATTTTTGCTTTTTTATTTCTTTTACAGCACTCAGCTCTCAGCATTCACACATTTTTGCAGAAAACACAATTTCTCATTTATTATCTTTTAAAATCAAACTGATTTACATCAAATACAATAAAAATATCAATCATAAAAAAACAATATTGCAACAAGTTAAATAAAACAAACAAACAAACAAACAACCCAAAAGCATTAAAGTATTGTAAAACTTAAACCTAAAAGTGAAGTGTTAGCCACAAAATCTTCCTGAACAGAGGTCGTGATTTAAAGCGCCGTACAGAGCTGGTCATCCTGACTCGTACAGGAAGACCGTTCTACATGATGCACAGTAAAATCTTGACATTTTTAAAAATACTTAACTAAAACCAATGGCCGTAACTGAACTTTAAAGTAGAAATGCTCAGAAAAAAGGTGAAATGGTTATTTGAACGTAGTGATACAAAAAAAAAGAAAGAAAAACATTTCAGTCTTTGACTTTCCTCGTCATCTGTTCTTGTCGTCATAAATGCTCAGCGTTTATACTCAATTCTCCAGTAAAAACATGCCAATACTATTGTTGAGTAACCGTGCAAACCAGTGAACAAAAACAATATAAAAATCAGTTCACATCTTAAAGGATTTAATTACAGCCCAGAGCATCAGTTTCTAATGTTCAACAATGATGCAAAATCTTAATAGACTTAATTCTATTCAATACTTGAAATTATATTCAACTGTAACATCATTACAAATATAAAAACAGGCCCTCTCAGTGCTCAACAACAAAAGAAGACAATTTTCCTGCTGCTAACTGAACACGAACACAAAAAGCACAAATGTGTCAAGAGCAGCCATGAATGATGCTCTGAACCGTGAGGTCCTTCTGTTTCTCACACACTACGCTGTGATACAGTTTACAATGCAGCCTCCCATGTTCAGCTTCAGTGAAAGCAGCTTTGGAAAAAACCACATGGTCGTGCTTCTTAACCTCCACTCCATACGTCTCACAAAGATGAGCTGTAAGCGATGCGTCTAAAGACAAAACTTGAGCCAGTCTGTCCAGAGGGAAGCTGCAGTTGCGGCTGCTGTACCCATGGCTGTATATCAGCAGCAGATCTCTACGGCACACTGCCAGGTGACGGTGCAGTGCGCAGGCCTGCAGGAAGTTCAGGCCCCGAGCCAATCGGAGAAGGCGAACAGGGTTTCTCTCCAGGAAAGCTCGATTTATAGCCAGCGCAAGTGTGACAGCAGGAGTGCTGCGCAGTCGTTTGGGGAGTTGGATGACATGTTGCGTGGCTTGAGCTGAGCCTGCAGAGAAAGAGCAAAATGTAATACAATTTGTTGCAGAACTGCACACTTGGTGAATAACAAGATTTGTAAAAAAATTAAATAAAAATACAGTAAAACCTACAAGAACCTCAACATCTTTATTTCTGCCACTTCCAGTTCTTTCTCCTGTCTTTTTGTCAATGCCACTGTCTCCAGACCATACAACATAGCTGGTCTCACCACTGTCTAGTAAACGTTTACTTGGAACTTTGCTGACACATTTTTGTCACAAATCACTCCTGAAACTTTTCTCCATCCACTCCATCCTGCCTGGACTCTCTTTTTAACTTCTTTACCACACTCCCCATTTTCCTGGACTGTGGACCCCAAGTACTTGAAGTCCTGCACCTTTGTGACCTCTGCTCCTTGTAGCCTCACTGTTCCACCAGCCTCCCTCTCATTTACGCACATGTACTCTGTCTTACTACGGCTGACTTTCATTCCTCTTCTTTTAAGTACATACCTCCATCTCTCCAAGTTCTCTTCCACCTGTTCCCTGTTCTCACCACAGATCACTATGTCATCTGCAAACATCATAGTCCATGAGGATTCCTGCCTGACCTCATCTGTTAGTCGGTCCATAACCAGAGCAAATAAAATAGGGGCTCAGAACTGATCCTTGATGCACTCCCAATTCCATCTTGAAGCTATCTGTCACTCCTACAGCACATCTCACCACTGTCCTCATATGGCTGGTACCAGTCTAACATACTTCTCTGCCACTCCAGATTTCTTTGTGCAATACCTCCTCCCTCGGCACCCTGTCATATGCTTTTTTTTAATGCACAAGCACACAATGAGTTCTTTCTGACCCTCTGTACTTCTCCATCACCATCCTCAAAGCAAAGATGGCACCTGTGGTGCTCTTTCTTGGCATGGAACCGTACTGCTGCTCACAGATAGTCACCTCTTGTCCAAGTCTTGCTTCCACAACTCTCTCCCAGATCTTCATTAAGTGACTCATCAACTTAATTCCCCTGTAGTTGCTACAACTCTGTACATCACCCTTGTTCTTAAAAATAGGCACCAGCACACTTCTTCTCCATTCCTGAGGCATTTTCTCACCCTCAAATATGCCATTGAATACTTGAGTCAAAAACCTCACTGCCATCTCTCCAAGACATTTCTAAACCTCCACTGGTATGTCGTCAGGTCCTACTGCCTTCCCCTTCTTCATTCTTTTCAGAGCTTTCCGGACTTCACCCTAACTAATCTTTCCCACTTCCTGGTCCACAGTTTCTATGCTCTCGACTCTCCTTTCATTCCATCTTCCAATCACACTCTCCTCACTTTTTAGAACATTACCATTCCTATCTTTAATAAGCCTAACCTGCTGCACATCCTTCCCAGCCTGATCTCTCTGTCTCACCAATCGATACAAGTCCTTCGTACCCACTTTAGTGTCCAGCCTTCCATACAACCCATCATAAACCTTCTGCTTTGCCTTAGCTACCTCCCTCTTTGCTCTATGTCCCATCTCCTTATATTACGGTCTCCTCTCTTCAGTCCTCCGTCATATTTCTTCTTGGCTAATCTCTTTCTTTGAATGGCGTCCTGCACTTCTCTATTCCACCACCAGGTTTCCTTATCATCCATTCTCTGTCCAGATGACACACCAAGTAATTTCCTATCCATCTCTCAAATTACTGTTGCTGTAGTAGCCCAGTCATTTGGAGCTTTTAACAGCTCCTCTCTGAACTCCTCACATCATTCTTGTTTTCTCAGCTTCCACTATTTGGTCTTCTTCTCCTCTGATTTTACTCTCTTTCTTTTCTTCACAACAACAGCCCTTCACACAACCATCAAATGTTGTCTGGCCACACTCCCCTGCCACAACCTTACAGTCCCTAATCTCCCTCAGGTTTCCTCTTCTACACAGAATGTAGTCGGCCTGCGTACTCCTTCCTCCACTCTTATAGGTCACTATATTCATCCCCCTTTTGGAAATAAAGTGTTGACTACAGCCATTTCCATCCTCTTGGCAAAATCCACCACCATCTGTCCTTCCTGGTTTCTTTCCTCGACATCAAACCTACCCACCACTTCCTCATCCCCTCCGTTTCTTTCACCAACATGTCCATTCAGATCTGCTCTGATCACCACTCTCTCCTCCCTGGGAAAACTATAATTTCATCCAGATCTTTCCAAAATGTCTTTCTCCTCTACGTCACATCCAACCTGTGCAGCATAACCATTGACGATGTTTAGCATCAGACCTTCTACTTCTACCTTCAGACACGTCACCCTATCTGACACTCTTTTCACCTCTACTACATTCTTTGCCAAGTCCTCCTTCAGGACCACCCCTACTCCATTTCTCTTTCTATCCACACCATGGTAAAACAGTTAGAAACCTGCTTCAATGCTGCAAGCCTTGCTGCCCTTCCACTTGGTGTCTTGGACACATAAAACATCTACCTTCCTTCTCTGCATCATGTCAGCCAGCTCTCTACCGTTGCCCGTCATTGTCCCCACATTTACAGTTGCAACTCTCAGTCATTTAAATAATGTAACAACAAAGAATAATAAAAAAAATTGTTCAGGTGAACTATTTTGTGTTTTTAATCACCTAAGGAGCAAGAACTGAAGGTATCCACGTACCTAAATTGTACAACAAACAAAGAGCCTGAAACTCCTCCTGGTTTGAGTAGACTCCTGTTCCAGTTGTGTAGCAGTCCAACAACCAGCTCAGGCACTCTTGTAGGTGTGTATCGTTGATGCGTGGTTCATAACACCGCAGGGGTTCACCACAAAGACGATAAGAAGCATAGATGAGGAAACGCACGGTCCGCTCTAAAATGGCCACGCAGTCCCTTCCAGACAACCTCTGGATGATCATATCCTGTTTCACACTACGTAACCGATCAAAGACGAAGCTATACACCTGAAAGCCGAAAGAATATCTGTTAGAAATACATAAACTGCAAGTTTTCACATTTTTCTATGAACATACACGGTTTATAAAGGATATCGAAATCAACTTTACATCCTCTGAAATTTTCTATTGTTTATTTGAGCTTTTTTCTCTTTTTTAATTTAATGTTTTTTTAACATAAAACTCATTTTATAAGAATTACTTACTGAAAGTTTTATATTTCAATTGTTTTTAATAAGTTAGGAAAGCATACAAATGGGAGATTTATTTAAAAAGAACATTCTCAACAGCTTTTACAATGTAAAACATAAAAAAAAAGATTAAATATTTCATGCTTTTTTTAGTACAATAAAAACTACGGTAGTTTAAAAAATGCAAGATGGAAACAAATAAAAGTCACAACAGCAAAATAAAGAAGTTTAAGGGGAAAATATGAATTGACCACTAAAGGTTTTACTTTGATATTTTAGTTTTCTTTGAGGGTTGAATGATAACACGTAAAGTTTTGAATTTGCTTGAGATTTAGATTTACATTGAACAACAGCCAAAATGGGCTCATTACAGGCTGAAACGGGTTAATGTTACTTGCCTCAGTCCATGGATGCAGAGGAGAGGCTGCAATGTCATCAATAAGGTAAAAAACAGTTTTCAACAACATGTCAGGTGGTCGGAGGTCAGAGGGCTTCGTCACATCTTTTCCAGCTGCTGGTCTAGAGTACTCTTTGACAACTCGCAAAGGGTCTCCCTTTGGCTTTCGATTTCTCTCTGTGCCTGGCACCATTTCAAAACAGTGAAGTCTGCTCTGAGCCTCACGATCTCGTAGCTCTTGAACAGGACACATGGTCTGGCAGGTCCCTCTGGGCACAGTTTCTTTCAGCTGCGCTTCAAGGATCTGCTCCGCTTCCTTCACCTTGTTCCTCTGTCTCTGCCATCTTCCTAATGGCTCATCCCTCCTTGGTGAGTGAGAACTGTGCAAGAAATAGTATCATAAAAGATTAATTTTAAAAATAGATCTACAGTATATTAGAAACCTGGAAACACTTTTCCCCACAATGGCCTGACTTCTAAATCCTGTTGAATTGTCATCACTTCATAAAGCTGAGTGTCAGTACAGGTACAGCGATTACACCCACAAAAATTAATTCTGGAACTGAACTTAAGGTTTTGATGTGTGTGTGCACAGAGTGTTAACTTTTCCTTGCTTTTGTCAAGTTTTGTGGTTGTGTGCACAACCTATTTGATTGTCAGCACTTTTTTTATGTTTAGCAAGGTCAGTGTTTTATTCTTATGTCAAGTTTATTGTTTATTTGTGTAGCACAATTAGGATCAAAGTGCTTCACAAAGTACAAAATAACAACTATCATTATATCATCTATTAGAAGAAACTACAATAAAGCAAAAGTATGTGTAAAATATATATATATATATATATTTTTTAAATCAAAGTAAGTTAACTAAACCTGCACAATAAAGCTTTCTGAAGAGTACTAAAAGCCACTCAGTGGGTAAGACTTTGGGTTTTAACTTAACTCGTATTGTATTTAAAATTATAAACTATGGGTTGTGTCAGAAAACTGGTACATTTAATTAGGCTCCGGTATACACATTGCTTAGTCGTCAAACATTCAGGTACGATGATGATGCATGGTACGATGATGAATGTATTTCAACTGTGCTTGTTGTTATCGGCTACAGCACGAGTTAGCTAGCTAACAACCTACATCAAGCGAATTTCGTTTTACCAAAAAAAAAACAGACAAGTACAGATATTTCAGACAGTATGCTATTAAATGAAAGTAAAACTAATGAATTTAAAGCAGTTTGCGACAAGTCATAAATTTAATAGAAATACATTAAATATTGGTACTTGCATGCGAGTCTTTCTTCTGTGGTTCATTAGTTCCGCTGAAGTGGATGACGTCACTGTTCGACAGCAGCCAATGAAAATGGCTCATTTATGTTTCCATGAAACGTCACATCCGGAACTGGACCGTACCAAATTAAAAGTATATTTTGACGATGAATAAAAAAAACAAAACGAAGGTAAAGACAGAAGTTTGTGAAATTAGGTGCGATTATACAAAAATAAGTCTCGCGTAAACCGGAAAAAGAGAAGAAAGCTGGGCTTAACTGTAAATAGCAGTCACATTTAAATATATAAAATCATACATGTGGAACTAGTTATATTTAATGCTCTAAAATTAATAAAAGGTTAAATATATTAGATGAAAATAGGAAATACGTGTACTTGAATGTTGTTCAAGAAGACTTTTAATCAGAGGCATTTCTGACTGAGCTATAAAAACATGCAGGATTAACTAGTCATTGCGTGGTCTGGAATAGGTTAACTAATTTTGTGAAATCAAATTAAGGTAAATTACACAAGACACACTGGATTTCCCATCCTAATTCTTTTTCCAGGCTTTGTGAACTTGATGCTGCTTCCGAATATAGAATCAATTTCCAATAAACAAATCTTTTGCCCCGTACCCTATCAGTGTGACACTATCATGACTCAATTAATGCATTATGTAATTTCTCATAGTGGCATTAGCAGTGATTCATAAGATCCAACTATGTTTTGCAAATTTGTTTAACTGTATAAAAACTGAAAACTTTTATTCTGACGAAAATGGCAACAAAACATCAAATTCATCATTTGTTTTATTACTTTATTAAATACATCTAGATTAACAAACCGTACGAGAGCACACAACATAATGCAAGTACAACAAAATCAAACAGGACATTAAAATCTTCAAAAAAATAAAATAAAATCAAGGAATATTGACAGGGATGGAGAGTTTATCCAAAGTGCAATTACTGTTTCCCATGCTGTGTTTTCATCACTCTTTAGGGCAGAAGAGCTCACGGGTTCTTGAAATACCGATCTGTTCTTCTTCCATGACCTGTTGAACATGGACTGAATGGTGGCAGACCAGTGACGACAGCGCCAACAGCTCAGAAAAGGTTCTAGAAAAACAAAAAACCCACCGACACTTATCAATCAATACAAGTGCAAAGTCAAACAGCATCTCTAGGTGAAATAAACTACTAGTACTCATTGAAACTGAATAACAACAACTATAAAAAAAACAAGTTTATTTCCCTAAAGTCATAATGAAAAAATAATGAATCACAAAAGGGTAAGAAAGTAACCATATCACAGTAAAGTCACCATCAAATAGCATCGTCTTCAAATGCACCTACCCCGACAGCTGCTGACTGACATTTTTAGATGTTGTTTTTATATCTCTGAGGCAGTCCAAAGATGTGCTGTTCTCCTCGTGGTCTCCCTGTGTGCACTCTAGCAACAACTTCTCAGTTTCCTTCAGGCAAGCCTCAGCTTTACCTACCCAGTGAAAATGGTTATCAAAACATCACTTTCTGTCAAATGCACCTTTATAAGAACACATAGTTACACTCAACAATACAGTTTGATTAGGCCATGCGTCTGATAAGGTGACATGTATTTAGTGTGAAATTTTATACAAACTTTACATCGGCATTTTGACTTGTCAAGAATGTTTGATCAAAAAACATTTACAGAATAAGTTAAAAGCAGCATAAAACTGTTTTTTTTTTTTTTTTTAAAAATACCTAAAAATTCTTTCCCATCTCCACCGATGTAGAAATTCTTGACAGGCAGCTCATGAGAAGTGGTGTCAACAGCTGCAGCGAAACACTTATAGTCCTCTGTGAACTGTCGGGCTGCCTCTGCCACAGGAGTCAGTATCTCAATCTGATGAAAAAAAAAAATTGGTGAGCTATAGATAATGTACAGAAGCTGCAAGGTGTCATAATATACGTTATTGGCATCACAATAGCTTAGTGGTTAGCACTGTCGCCTCACAGCATGAACGTTCTGGGTTCTAGCCCTGAGTTGGGGGCATTCTGTGAGGAGATTGCATGTTAATATTTTATTTATTTATACCTTTATTTAACCAGGTTCAGATGTCCTTCACAAAGTTGTTAAAGCATCGATTGCATGCGTCCATGGATTTCAGATTGCGTAGCTCCTCAATGGTGTAGGCACTCATCGTGTTCGATAAATAATCAAATATGTCATGAGATTGGAGGCAACTTGTCTGTGTTGTCTGGCGGTCTTTGTCTATTTCATACGGGTCAATCCCGACAGCAACGACTTTCTGGATATATATTTCTCTTGCCTTCTAAAGGCAAGGGTTCCACTTCAATGTGCTTGTTTAGCATTTGAGAACACCAAAGCAATGCATTCCCATTATGCCATTAAAGTCATGCTGGGAAATTTAATTTCAGGATGGAGAAGATGGTGACCTCTGTTCGAAGTGCTAGCACCTACAGCATATTAGACTACCTGTATTTATCAGTAAGTGCATGCTGATAAATACTTTATTTTGATACCTTCATTTTTCACAAATGTAAAAATAAAGTCCAAGACACCTTTGCAAACTATATTAATCTGAAATTGTATTTAACTTATGTATCTGTATTCTTTAATTTCATCAGTTTATTAAATTTTACCTTTACTTGCAATATCTTAAACATCTTTGTGAGATATAACTACACATTTTCTCCCCCACATGAATCTTATTGTCATTTAGATAAATTCAGAATAAAATCATTTATGTTTCAGATAAATACAGACAAAACTAATTTATTTCCAGTGAAAGTGTGTAAAGTCTAAATTGAACAGCCAACTACGGGAGGTGCCCTGACCTGCATGTCCAACAGCTCGTTCAGCTGCCTTTGCTTCACAGCAAGAAGATATTGCTGCTTCTTTTTCTTGACCTCATTACGGAGCACATCTTCTTCCTTCATCTCTTGAAGGATTCTTTCCTCTGCCTCAGCCTTGAATTTTGCAGTATTGCTCTCCATCTAAAATAAATTAAAATTACTGAAAATATGCCAATATGTCAATATGATTGTATTTAACAGCACACATTAGGTCAAAATTTGTATATATTTACTAATAGTGTTAGTCTGACTGAATGAACAGACAAGTTTAAAGCTATTCACAGCATTTCTCAGAGTTGGTTATTCCATCAAACCTTAGCTGTGAGGTAGGCTAGTAGAAACGTTTGCATCTCCACAAACTTCTCGTTCTCTGGGTTTCTTTCAGACTCTGTTACATTCTCAATCACGGTTTTATCTTTAGAACAGAGATTAAAAACAAAAGGTCACGAAAAAAAGTTTGAAAACAACAAACGCAATTTTATGGTTTTATTTCATTTACCTTTAATTAGTGAAATATCAAAATCTGGACGAAAGCAGTGTCCGTCTGAGAATGTGGACTGCAGAACACTTCTTCCAAGTGATGGATCAGTTACTTGTGACATCATGGCTTTATTGAAGATAAAATAAACATTGACGTGTTATTTTGATGTCACAAACATAACAGAGCAGAAATAAATCATTCAAGATCTTAGAAGTGTTAGTCTGCATTCTTCATCTACAAAAATACAAAAGTTAACACTGTTGCCACCAGGTTGTACTACAGTTACCAGTTCATTCATCCATGCACGCTTCTTCCTTACACAAATCCAAATAACTCCAAAAAGAAGTACTCACATTCTGTAAGAGCCTGCGGTGCCAGTGAGCGTCGAGGTGGGGTGCCCACCTTTGGTTTAGGAAAAGTTGTTTTAGGAGAGGAAGGCCGCTGAGGCACAGCAACCGAATCTGTCAGTGAATTACTCTGAAAATGTAGATGAGGGATGAAGTTGAATAAAAAGAAGGGACAGTAGTAAAAAAAATAAAATCACTACAGCTAAGTTGAAAACACGTGAAAATAAAAATGAAGAGTCATTATTACACTTATTTAAATTTGGCAACATAGATCCACATGCTAACATAAAATACCATGTTTTCGTACATGAAAACAAACAAACAAAAAAACAGGAAAAAAGATATTACCTTTGAAAGAGACGTCTTCTCAGCAGTTTGAAGATATCGTGACTTGACAATAGTCCCACTGGCTGCAGATTAATAAAAAACTTTTATAAAGTAAGACACAACTATTCAAGACAAACTTTTCACAGTAGACTATCCACTTTAAAAATGGTAAATCCTATAAATTTACAAAACAATAGACAACAGTTGTGCAAATTGATTTTATAACTTTAATAATTTAGGCAATCAAAAATATTTAATGTGCAAACACTTCACAGCTGAACAACTTTTCCAGTTTAGATAATGAAATTACTAACTAGGTGCAGCTCAGACCTGGATGCTCTTACCCATTTTTATTGCAAAGAACAATTCAGGATGATGTCATTCACATTTTAGTTGACCTTAAATGAAGTTTTACAACTTGTCAGACAAAAACACTAAAAACATATTGTAAAATTAAAACGGGCATAATAAAATGATTTGCAAACATTTTCATGCATGTTACCATCAGTTTAAAACATCAAAAAAATTATATCAAATATCCATCCATCCAAAACCAGCCACTAGGGAGCACAGGCCAGTGTATCTCCTGTGTCGGTCCCAAGAAGGGCATCCAACGTAAAACACTTGTGCCAAAACTATAAGTGAGTATAAGCTAAAGACCTCTTCAGTCTACGGACTGATGAAGTCTTTTGGATGAAACACAAAACGTTTCAAAAAAAGAAACTGTCCAAAGGACCCGACTTAACTTTGTTGGATTTTTCTACCTGAATTATTGAGAATTAACTTTGATATTTTGATCCACTTTGGCTGCAAGCCTTGAACGAGTCGGCGGGGTGGACTCCAGAAACCATCTGAGCACCATCAAACTGGTTGACGTGAAGGTACTATAAGACTGAGTTTGCCGCACAAAGCAACCGGCCCAGACAGCATCCCCGGAAAAGTGTTGGAAGAGTGTTCAGGTCGGCTCTGCGGGGTGCTGGCGGACATCTTTGGCACCTCACTTGCCCTGGAGACAGTTTCTGCCTGCCTGGGGACTGCCACCATCATCCCAGTCCCAAAGGGCTCTACAGTGGCTGGTTTGGGTGACTGGCGGAGTGTCGGCCAGTGGCCCTCACCCCGATGGTCGCTGGATGCTTCGAAGGACTGATCATGGCTAACGTCGAGGCAGCCATCAACATCAACAAGGACTCTCATCAGTATGCATACCGTGAGAGCTGATCAACAGAGGATGTCATCTCCTCTGTGGTCCACACTGCGCTCAACCACCTGGAGCAGAAAAACTCTTATGTCCGTATGCTCTTTGTGGACTTCACATCCGCCTTCAACACCATGATCCCCCAAACCCTGATGGACGGGCTATTCACACTGGGACTGAGCCCATCCATTTGCAGCTGGGTACTGGACTTCTTGACAAACGGACCACAGTTAGTGAGGATCCACAACTTCTCCTCCTCCACCATAACCCTCAGCACTGGTTCTCCTCAGGGATGTGTGTTGAGCCCCCTCCTGTTTACTCTGCTCGCGTATGATTGTGCAGCTACCCATCCAGGCTGTCACATTGTAAAGTTTGCAGATGATGCAGCGGTGGTGGGATGCATCACAAACAATGATGAGTCCAGCTACAGGCAAGAGGTGGAACACCTGGAGAGCTGGTGCAAAGAGAATAACCTTCACATCAATGTGGAGAAGACAAAGGAGATGATTGTGGATTTCAGAAGGAACAAACACACCTACACCCCCCCTGAACATAAGAGGACCTGTGGTGGAAGTGGTCTCCAGCTACAAGTACTTGGGTGTGCACATGAATGACAACCTCAGCTGGAGCAACAACACCACCAGCCTGATCAAGAAAGCTCATCAGAGACTCTACTTCCTCAGACGGCTGAGGCGAGCTGGTCTGGGAAGCTCAGTCCTCACCTCCTTCTACAGGTGTGCAGTGGAGAGCATCCTGTGCTCCAGCATCAACGTGTGGCATGGAGGCTGCACAGCTGCGGAAAAAAAAGGTTTGCAGAGAGTGGTGAAGGCTGCACGGAATGGAAGTCTGTCGGAGTCAATCTCCCCGCCATCACAGACGTCTGCGCCTCTGGATGCAGGAGGAGTGCTGCCTGCATCATGGGGGACCCCACTCACCCAGTGCACACACTCTTTGCCCCGCTCCCCTCGGGAGGGAGGTTGAGGGGCATTGGGTGTGGAACCACTGGACTGAGGAGCAGCTTCTGCCCTGGGGCTGTTGGACTCGTGAGTCTCTAGCCAGGATGGTCACTGTGGGGGGGTCGCGTCATGTTGCTGCTGATCTGTTTCAATGTTGACGTGTTCATGCGTGCTCGTCTGCTCACACAGACTCATGTTCATGTTAGTGCTGATGTTCAACGTAATGTTTTTATGTTATGAGTGCTCAGTGTATGTTTGGTTGATGTTTTTTTTAGTTCATATCTTAGATGTTATTGCTGTTTTTCTTTTACATTTTATTGTTGGATGTAACTGGCACCCTGTGTACATAATTTCGCTCCACCACATGTACCACATGAGGTGCGAATGACAATAAAGAAAGTCTGACTCTGAAATAATAGCTGACATCTGTTCTAGGAAATGTTTTCATGGAGGGCCTAATCTGTGTCCCAAATTTACTAAGGCAAACCAGATGAACATTAATTATGATGCTTCTGTTGTACTCAGTCTGATCTTCCACATGTTTTATTTATTAATAATTAGCCTTTTTATTAGACACTAGAAGTTTATGTGCTCCGAAGCGTTGTAAAACCGATAACTAAACTACATAACTAAAACAAAGAGTCAATCGAGAACATCAACAAATACTCACGTTTAACAGTTTTCTTCCCATTCCCACTGTTGTTGGCTGAATTAGCATTACTGCCACTTTTCGAACTGACAAAAGGAAACAAAAGTCGCGAGTTGACTAAAAACAGAAGAACCGTGTTTGTTTCTCTGCATAACATTTCCTTTTAGTTTTAACACGATTTTTTTTATGGTAACTGTCTAAAGAAACAACAAAATAACAGCAAGTACCTTTTTGCATCAGCGGGAGCATTTGAAAAACTGAAAACTGGCGCCGCCGATCTTCTTCTGGACGCCATGATGGTTTGAAGCGAACTTCTTCTTCTTCTTCTTCTTCTTAATGTTGTTTTATCAGAGGCTGTTGGCAAACAACGGAAGTTGTCTCTACCGCCACCTACTGGTGTGGAGAGTGCATCAAAATGACTGCAATCATGCTTATGTTCTCTTTTCTAATTTTGTTTCTAAAAATATGTAAAATAATTTGAATACATTTACTTCTCGTTTACATTTGTATTATATTTATTATATTAAATGATTATTTATTTTTTCCTAATTCTTCATGTCTTCCCTTTATACAGTCAAGGCTGGGTTATAGCTGGTGCAGTCACCTTTCCCTCCTGCTCATGTTCCCTGCTGTTCCTGTTGGCTGATCTAATGTGGAGTCATTTCAGGAGGTCCGATCATCGTCCAGCTAAATCAATCCCTGAGGTGTTCGACGACATCACAAGTTGGCTGGGCGAGCTCAGTGGACTCATTTTATCTTTATTGTTGGCCTCTATTTTTTAGCTTGGGGTGAGAAGGGTTGGTTTTATGGGAGTGGGTAGTTTTACAAATCCCCTAACCTGCATGTTGGTTGGTGTGTTTGAATCTGGATTAGCTTCCTTTGATGAACAGTTCTGTGTTTGAACTGTGTTTAGGTTGGATGTGTTTTAGGGGTATTGGATGAATAAATAAAAAGCCTTTAACCTTCTGGTATGTGTGGTGATTGTTTGACAGTTCTAACATTCTAGGCAAGATTGTCTACTTGTGTGACTCTCAAATTTATTACAATATTTTCAGATATAATGATATAGAAATGTATAGTAATAATATTATTTATAGGACACATACCTGTCCAGTCCCCGCCTCTCACACAGTGATGGCTGGACATGGGCACAAGTGACACCGTGACTCAAAAAGGAAAAAGCGGGTAAATATTATGTATGTATGTATGGGTATTTGTCTTTTCAAGCTGTATAGGATGAAGCCACCAAGTAAGTGACTTTGATTGTGTATCTCACAATATTTTTTTGACTACACCAAATAAAAAAAGTGCTTGTCACGGTAATAACATTTTTCTGAAAACCATTGGCAAAATATCAACGTTCATGCTCAATAATCCAGGTAGAAAAGCCAACAAAGTTCAGTCAGATCATCTGGACATTTTCTTTGTTGTTGTTGAGACATTTTATCCTTCATCCAAAGGACTTCATCAGTCCAAGGAGTCACAACAAATTGAGTCCCACAAGCAGCATACCCACATAGTGGACCAACTGCCCGCTCCCCCGTCGACTCCTCTGAGGCAGCCATAGCCTGGCAAAATATGTAAATTATTTAAATGCATGAGCAACATTCTTCTATGAAAACCACATGCTTAAAATAAATGCACAGGAAGTTTAGATTTAAATCATGTCTCTCTCACTGTCTTTTCTATTTATTTTTATTTTTAGGATAGTACTCTATAGTTTGCACACTAAATTTTTCCTCAGTTTTTACTTGAGATTTTCATATATATTTTAAATAGGTTCACAATGTTTTAAACAGGAATTCAAATCTGGGGTAAGCTTTTAATGATTTATTTATTGCTTCAAAACAAACACTCATCCATTATCTTTACCCACTTCTTCCTGTTTGGGTCATGGGGGTCACTGTTGCCCATGTCCAGCCATCACTGTGTGGGGGACACCCTGGGCAGGTCTCCAGTCCATCAGGGACACATACAGTAGAGGCAAATGAGACAAACAACCATTCACTTTCACCTAGAGGCAATCAGTCCAACATGCATGTTTTTGGTCTGTGGGAAGGAAACTCACGCATGCATGGAGGGAACATGCAGACTCCATCTAGCGGGGTCCTGAGTTGGGGTTTGAGCTGGTGACCTGCTCACTGAGAGGCAACAGCTCAACTGAGCTACCGTGCTGCCCCCAAACAAACATATTGCTTGGAAATATAATTAAATTAGTGTTAGAGTTTTATCTTATTCAGCCTGATGCGCCCACCCTCAGACCACCACCGTTTTTGAACTGCTTGTTGTCAACAGTCACAAATGGCGATTTACTTTTTGCTCCGACTGCACAGTGTTGATGTTTTTTTTGTTGTTTTTTTTTAATTCTTCAGATTTGGACAATTGTACACTTCACGACAGTCCACTGAATGGCAGTGAAATGAGTTTGGGTTTAGATCTTCTGTTTTTAGAAACGTTCCGGAGCACATGTAATGATTTCAACAGCAGATTTATGTTATTTAGACATTACTGTCTGACAATTTGCAACCATTTAGTTAAAGATTTCATGTTTGTCCATTAATACTTTCTTTGGAGCATTTGGATTTGATGATTTTGAGCAGAAAAGGACATTTATTAACAAGAATAACTGCAAATTGTATTACAGGCTACAAAAAGCCAAAGACTAGTTGATCAGCTCACCACTAGATGGGTGTAAGGTTCTTCACTCACATAATCATCATGTCAGGTCTCAGGGTAAATGTACATGGACCTTACTGAAGTCTATTAAAGACTGTATTGAAAATACAGTCAATGCAAGTTAATGAATAGCTTCAATTAATGATTTTTTTTTCTGTTCTGATTCAAGCAGTACACGGAGTCACTCCCCTTTGACAGTGATCACAATAGAAACTAAATATATTTAGATGCACACTTAAAAACTATGCAAAATGAAGAAGATACAAACTCAAGCCATAATGCAAAGATCTGCAAATGTGCATCTTCATCCTGTATGTGGTTATCTGCTTAACGGCATCTCAGTTTAGCTTGTGTGCGGTAGTCTTAAAGAACATAATGGATGCTGATCCCACCAGTCTTTAGCTGTTCTTGAACAATGGGTTGACCAACAGGGAGCTGAGTGGGTGTGGCGCTAGACAAACACTGATCAGCAACTCTTGCTCTAATTTTCTCAATGTGAGACAAAGATCAACCACTACTCTAACATCCAAAACCCAGGAAATTAATGATCAGTCACTAAACTCGTGAAAACTATTCACCTCTTTGCCGTCCCTAAGATAAACTTTTTAATAATGTGTATAAAATATATACCATTCCACTTTTTTGAACTTTCATGACAACAGCTGGACATCTGAGCTTTGCATACCTGTATTTGTGCATGTGTCTTGCATGTGTGACGCCACTCTAACAGTGCCAGCCTGTGTAAAGGCCAGGTCTTATTATGGATCTGCCCCCCCCTCCCCCCCTCAGAGTAATAAAGCCCTGAAGCTCTCGGCTGTGTGCCTGCCTGCTTGCTCTCCATCTCTCACCACCAGGCAATGCTGAGCTCATGACCAACGATAGACAACAACTGCTGTGAGCAGGGGCGATATAAGAAGAGCACATTCGTTTTAGGTTAAGTCAGTTATGATATAAATGTAAATCTTTAGTAAAGTAACTTGTTTTTGCTGTTTTCTGGAGTAAAATTCAAGCTGCACTCTCTGGTTGATGACATGAACTAGAGGTGCGTGTTGAAAGGCAGCACTGAGTAACTGAATGAGGGTCCTTGTCTCTCTTTAAAGCCCACCTTTCTTGCCTTTCTCTCTGCTTCGAAACTCTGACGTCTAGTTAAAGACTTTTTAAAGTCCGTGTGACCTCACTGATACTCCGCTCCTCCTCTTGAAGACAGAACAAAAGGGATGAAACAACTCGGAATGTTGCAAATTAAATAATTTGATTTGCTTCTGAACACACTCACATGGTTATGTACACAACCCGGGATGCTTTAAACATGCAGCTTCTTCTGCAGTAACAACAACAGGTGCACTTATTGGGATGTTTGGTTCAGTTTTCTACATTCTATTACATTATTCCTGCATCTCTTAAAAACCACTTTATCTTATTGAAGTTTATTGCTGTGATTTTTCATATTATTCTTTCCCCACTTCAGCTTTGTAAGACTGATGGATGTACGATTCTGGTGTTTGCTCTCGTCTCTGTGGCCCTTCTTATAAAGAGCAGCTAAAGAAGGGTTAACCAGTAAGCCAGGAGCTTGCTTCCATCAATCCTCTCTCTGTTGGTGTATTAGAGCAATGTTTACAAAGACTATTCAGAACAACCAGGAGGCTTCCATGAGACGCATTTCAACCCATCTGGTTTCAACATTTGAACGTTTACACGTCATAATATTACCCCTGCAAATTATATTTAAAAATGAATATATTTGAAAAACAGTCTTTTTATTACCTTTATATGAAAAGTTTGTTTTGAGTTTATACAGAGTTGAAACTTCAGTTTGCTAAAAGCCTGGTAACATTAAATAAATGAACAGTTTCAGTGTTGCTTACATCCGATATGTTGTTCCTCTTGTTTGTCCATCAATCAAGAATTCAGTAAAAACACATGTGTTGCAACTTATTACAAAGTAAGAATAACACTGATTCCCAGATTTTGTCCATACACAAGTGAAAAATAATGTCACTTTCCTATGACAATAAATTGTACAAACATGACAATATATTTTACAAACACGATAATGTATTGTACAAACATGATAATATATTGTACAAACATGATAATATATTGTACAAATAGGATAATATATTGTACAAACATGATAATATATTGTACAGCCATGACAATATATTGTACATACATGACAATATATTTTACATACATAATAATATATTGTACAAACATGACAATATATTGTACATACATGACAATATATTTTACATACATGATAATATATTGTACAAACATGATAATATATTGTTCAAACATGATAATATATTGTACAAACATGATAATATATTGTTCAAACATGATAATATATTGTACAAACATGATGATATATTGTACAAAC